CACGTACAGCAAATCTCTCAACGGAGGCCAGCCTCAGCTCACCAAAACCGATTCCTACAAGATCAATAATTAATTGAGCTTTCACTATCTCATAGTGAGGCACCTCATGGATGCAAGGTGATGTCTAAGAGCAAGCAGAAAAACAGGCTGAATCTGAGGCAATTTCAGGGCCACCCAGACGGAAAGAATAACAGCAGCGCCAGGTAAAAGAACTGCACCTACCGCAGCACCAGGGGAAAAATTACACCTACAACAAACAACAGCAACAACAACAATAACATCGGCGATCACATTGGTTGTATCAAAATAACAGAAGCAGTCAAACTTAAACACAACGACCTCCACAGTTGTTACCACCTAGCTCACATCTGGAGCCAAATAGGATCAAAATCAACATTGTACTCAACATCAAAGACAAAAGACCCACCCCCTCACCCCCCCCAAAAAAACCCCCCAGGAGCAGCTAACGAATACTATAACGACAGACCTGCTAGCACATCATCCACAATCACTCCTCTACAGAGCACGCTAGCAACCTCTTCAATTACCACCCCATAAAAAGAACCTTCAACTGCCTCCATCAAACAACGGCTGTTCGATAACTTGGTGAAGAAAGAAAAATCAAGAACAACGAGAGATCATCTAAAACCAACACCAGATGTGCAATAATAAACAGCCATTATTAATTATATATTTGACAACATGGTAACTTGGGGCCTGACCTACTTACTCAACGACGGAGAGACAACTATAACATGTGCTGAGGTCCTTATGATATCATTAGAAGTACACTGAAAATAGTATCAGGAGGTAGGCCAGAGTAAAAATTTATGAATAAATTTGAGAAAATCAAGAAACTGATCATGGACGTCAGTACCGTGGGACAACAGTTCTACGGCTGCCAATTCTCAATCATGACATTTCATGGAGTAAAGACCCAACCGATCCAACCGCACCATCATTGTGATAGGTTGGTGCTGGGTGACTTCATAGCACCATTGGTTTACAAGAACCGGACAAAAGAAAGACTCATCATTCCAGTAGAAATTCATGAGTTCCTGTCCTGCTGTTGAGGTATAACCTCAGCCCTTTTTAGGGTTAATAACCAATTTCCTCTTATTAAGGAATTTTAATTTGGTTTGATATCCTGACTATAAAGCAAGCATAATCCTTTATTCACAGTTCAAAAATTTGAACCTAACAATCCAAATTAGGCTGAACAAAATCAGTTGGTTACTTCCGTTTTCGTTTTATTTTAGAATTGGTGGTTCACTTGGCACATCAATCCTCAAATTATACAAAGTAGGAAAATTCATAATTATATTGCATGACAATAATTTTAAGGGTGGCATACACCAAATTGGCAATAGAGTTAACACATAAGTACAGCAGGGTTGAATTCGAATTAAGTTCACCGTTTGGGAAACTTACCGGTCAACGTCTGTGTCTCTTGGCCGAGTCTTTCTCCACCTTTCCCAGCTCAAACAACTAAAGAGTAGTGTGTGGGCCAATTCCCACTTCTCTAGTAACTAAATGTCCCGAAGAGCGTGAAACACGGAACTGTGGTACTTCTTTGACTAGGATGTCAGTTCCTCCTGAGCGTCTCAAAGTTATAGAGACAGTATCATGATGAGTATGTGTATATTCCAATTCATATTCACTGTATGCCTCGTGGGGCTTAATTGCCGCGAGATCCGACACAACTGAAACTGAAATGAATGCAGGTGTGGTTCTAAATCCCCCTACACGATCAAATAAAGAGCCCTGTAGATATAAACCAATTGCACGTGTCTTGCTGGCGAAAGCGACGTAAATTAAAGACAGGTAAGTGAGTAGGCATTCTTGCTCATTATTCCATGTCATTCCATTCATTTTTTTTTAATTCAGGGCTGTGAGACGTCGAACAAGCAACATTGAAGCGCCAACTGCATAGTAAAATGGATGGAGGCAAAAGCAGGATTCACGTGCTGCCACGTGTAGTCAATGACTGTCCAAGAAAGGAAATGGAGCATGACAACAATACGTGACAGCATCCTGCAAATAGCCGACCAACTCATTTATTGAAACAGTGATTAGATACTTATGATATAGTTTCAAGCAAGGAAAAGTCAGCAGGCGAATAACGGCAGAATGAGTTTTAAAGGAGAAACTCCGCAAGAATTGAATTGGGATGCAATCCACTCTGATATTAAGGAGGCAGCCACCAGGAAAACCAGCTACTTCATAGATCCGATTTTATGTTGACGGAAGTGTTTCGACGTCCAAAGAAGATCTGTTGCTAATGAATTCGGCCTGGAAGATGTCGATTTACACCAAGATTGCCTGAATGTGCGGAATTTTCCTTTTGGATATTGAAAACCCCTTTGATAAATCTTTATTAATTCTGAAAACCCGATTTGACCCTTTATATACTGCCGTCAAAATTACACAGACCATTATATTTTATACATTGCTTGATACCAAAATATGATGAGTTACCTATATTCAGAAGATTGTATTAAATTTTGGAATCGAAGGTACGCTTTGTACTCTACATTCCATCTTGAATAAATTAGTAATGAGATATTTTTAGCTTTAAATGATTGAACTACTTGCACAGATAGCTTACACATTTTTGGTTATAGGGACCGCTCACATGGAAAACTTTTACAAATATTGTATAACTATGACGTTTCAAGCACATTACGGTCGACGTTTAGAGCCCCATCCGAGCACTCTCCCACCTTTCCACTCTTGGACTAGCAAAGACGAGTTTGTGGATGCCACGATGAGCGTGTATACACGGAACTGGGGTTAAATCTTGAGCTGAGTATTAATCCACACTGCGCGTCTTATTGCGATAAAGACAATATCAAATTAGTGTGTGTGTGTGGTTTCGATTTCCACTCATATTAAAACCAATACTGTCGCCTGGGGCTGTGTGCATAAACGCGTGAGGAAGGAGTCTCGTTTTCCTTTCCCAACGATCAATTGAATATCTCAAGCATTGTAAGAATAAAAACAGTATTACATGCCCATTAAGCCAATGCGACTATAAAAAAAAAATAAAGGAAGAAATCGTGTAGATAGATACATAATGTTAATTTCCATTTTACCCATGTTTTACTTTACCCATATTGTCATCATCTACTTATATCAACCTTTTAGTTTGTAGTTTTTATAGTACCATTCATATATTTACAAATGGGCCAGGAGTAATATTCTGTACCTACTGTAAAAGAGACCCCCACCCCACCCCATTTCCATGGTCTAGACTACTGAAGGTGCATAGATGGTATGAAAATCCTCCATCAGGTGAATGCTTGTACAATGACGTCCACAGAAGCATTTAACATGAATACATACAATAGTGGCCATTAATTTCTTTACTACTTACTTAATCCAGCTATTAATGAAAAGCATTGGTTACTTATATTTTTGCATTGTTTTTTTTAACGAGAATGGCTTAACAAAAACTAATTTTATGGAACAATATGTTATTGGATTTATTGAGATAAAAGCTATCCCACTTGGGACTGACAATTGTCTATACAATTTTATATTTTCCTCTCAGTTATGATTTCTTTCATGAGTTATAAGCCTCATTGTTACCTGTAGAATATTATATCGATTGATAATAGCGTGCTGCTCCTGATTAAATAAAGCCTGCCACATTATTCATCTATCTGTATCACTATCATCTATTGTAAACTAACTTGTGTCGCATATGTCACGTGTACAGACATTCTGCTGTCGTCAAGAGACTTCTTCCGAGCTCAGCAGGGAGTCAGATTATAAATTTGTAAACAACAAATGGATTACAGCAGTGTATTCGATATTCATTAAATCTATTTTGCATACTCCTTGAAAAAATCCAAAGATTCGCTTCTTTAAGAAATATAATAAACTGTTGCTTATCTATCTATCTATCTATCTATCTATCTATCTATCTATCTATCTATCTATCTATCTATCTATCTATCTATCTATCTATCTATCTATCTGTCTGTCTGTCTGTCTGTCTGTCTGTCTATCTATCTATCTATAATAATACCAATAATAATAATAATAATAATAATAATAATAATAATAATAATAATAATAATAATGATAATAATGATAATAATAATAATAAAAGGGCGGTAAACCGGTTTACCGCTTGTATTTATTTCCTTTTGTACGTACGACGGTCCGTTTTCACAATACTGTTTCTTCAACAGTAATTAATCTTATATTGATTTTAATGATATAAAATGTATGTCTTCATGTTTGTGACAAAATGAATCCAAAAATTATTATAACAAATATCTTTCAACAAAAATTATTTTAAAAAATTCTTTCTACTATTTCTGATATTAAAAATATTTGTTGCATTTAGGTTTAAGACCATTTTTTAGCGCACTATAGCATATACATGGCGGTCAGCGCCTGGTGGAGAAAAAAATCTGGGAAACCCCGGCAAGAACCAATGACCCACAGCAAAGTTACTATCAAGCTTTCTCTCACATACCCACATTGGCTGAACCTCTCAGTCGAACCCACGCCCACAGAGGTGAGATGACAGTGATCAGAAGTTGAGCGTTTTTTTTTTTTACCACTCGAACATCCGGGGCCCCTATTACAAATATAATTATATTTATGAACCTTTTATTCCATTTTTGACATGTGTCAAATATGCAAATATGACGGCTGAATAGGATGTTATGATATATACACTGCCCAAATCAGTTTTGCGATAATTTAAGATTCAAATAAAAAATAAAAAGTGACTATTTTGTGTTATGTATTAGTGTATGTTACGTAATAAGTGAATGTTGTCCTTTGTAACAACGAGAATAAACCTAAGCTCTTCCAATTTATGTTTTTATCTGCCCGAATTTCACATAATTTCTTTAGTTCACTAGATATTAATTTAATATATAGTAAACGTAAGCTGCAGTGACAGTACTTCCTATTTTTTTTTTATCAACAAGCTTAGTAATGTCAACACAATGTCTTTTGACCGGGTATCAGCTATAGCAGAGGTGGCCTAGTGGTTAGAGCGTCCGCCTCAGATGCAGGAGGTTATGGGTTCGATCCCCAGCCGAGTCATACCAAAGACTTAAAAAATGGTACTAACAGGTGCCTCTTTTGACACTCAGCGTTAAGAAGTTAGTATTAGGACTAGTCATCCTGGTGTCAGGATAATGTGACTTGGTGGGACATTCTGCTTCATGTCTGCGGCATGATTACCCAGTGCTAGACATCACTATAAACTGCCGCACTGCAGACATCGTAGCGACATGACTGAAAAATTATTAAAGCTACGTTAAAATCCAAACGAAAACAACAACAACCAACTCAAACCACTCTGAGGGCCGCATGAGGGCATTTTCGATTGCCGAAGGGCCGCACTACCTTTGTTATCTCTCATGATACCTTGTGACGCCAATCATTTTGCGGACCACAGGATACGGGCGGCTTGTTTGAGGCCCCTGAACAATAGTGTGAGCTTAATCATTGCACTTCAGGCACAGTTTTTAGATAACAACCTATTTAACAATCAACATACACCTAGCAAATTCATGTAACATGCGATAGTATGGACCATTTCGTTTTCTTTTAGTGGCTTGCGATTTGTTTAGTGCTATTTTATTTTCGGTTACTTCAAGATAATTAATTTTTGACAAACACACACACACAGATATATATATATATATATATATATATATATATATATATATATATATATATATATATATATATATATATATATATATATATATATATATATATATATAAATAGTTTAATACAAACAATACTATCATACAGGTTAGAGAATATATATATATATATATATATATATATATATATATATATATATATATATATATATATATATATATATATATATATATATATATATATGCATACATACAGTAGTTCCAGATTCCTATGAAAAAAATCGAGGTATATAGGATTTTTGTATTACAAATATATACCAGACAGTGCTATCCCTAGATTATGTAGTAGAATCTTGATAATAGTGGGCAGAAACAAAAGTTTAATACAAACAATACTATATTCAGGTTAGAGAAATTAAATTCGTACTCTACTGAGCTTCGAACCCAGGTTTGCAAGTAAATGGCACCCATCGCCTTGCCTGCACGCACCATCCCATTTACCGTCACGACTAAGCACGCATCACCAAAAAATTATGGCACTGAATAGGTGTTATATAAGCTCGTGCGTAGAAGACACACGCACATGACGACCTAGTAAATAATTCTCATCTATAGATACAGTCGTTCCAGATTCCTATGAAAGAAATCAAGAGAGTCGTACCACAACAACATATAAGTATAAACCACTTACAGGACAGTCATTCATAGATTTGTCTAGTTGGATTAAAAAAAAATAATCTTCTATACTTGTGGGGAAATTTTTGTTATGGTAATTGCATGCTGAAAACGCACAAAATGGTCATCTTTACCGATTATCAAAAGATACGTGCAATGTCCACAATCGTTGATTTCATAGATATCAAGTAAAAACAGGACATTTTAGAAAGTTGAATTCAGCATCTACGTAAAAGTTTGAAATAATTTATTGAAATGTATAGTAACTAAGCCATTCATAATTTTGAAACTTTCCTGTGTTACGTATATATGATTAAATTGCTTGTGTGAAAGGCTTAAAATTATTTTTATTTCATTTTTGTTTCATTGTATTTAATTGCAATGAATTTTTTTTTTCGGATTCGGGATTCTATTTTTAGTAGTGAGTAACTTTGTTTATTTAAGACGAAATAGTAATACGTGAAAGTTGGCATTTAGTTCGCCTTACTTTGGTAACAAATCCACAGGAAGTTAAAATGATTGGTCAGCATCACGGACATACTTTCTCCGCGTGATCACTGTTTGTAAATAACCTATTTTAATGATTGGTTTTTAAGTCGGTCTTTACTGCGGACGTGACATGAAAAGCGTAACGAGAGACCACATGACCAATCTCGCGAGATTTGAAATGATGTTTTTGAGTGTAAATACGCTTCTGAAAATTGGTTTTGGCACAGTCACTGAAAACCTTGAAGAAACAAAGTGTTATTTTAAATTTGTTGCCAGAATATTTTTTTTCTTCGTCTGATTTTTGGATTCAATAATAATATTTTCCTGGACACTCAGAAAGTTGACTTTCTTAAAAAAAAAAAGATTCTGGAAGATATTAAGGGACATTAATTATGGAATTATTCGGAAACAAAGACTGATTCAAGTGAGAAATTATCGTTATTCAAATATTGGACCACATGTGACGTCATCGCCCTCCATATTTTTAGGTCGTCGAGACTCGAACCCGGATTCTTATATGAATATTTATGGATAGGACTTGTGTTTTTATTCTTAGAATCATATTGGATTATATTCACAGATTGTAAGACCTTTTTTAAAAAATATTTACATTGTTGTCTAGGGAAATAAATTGTTTTGTTGAAATATGCAAAGCTTGTTGGCTTTCGCTCTTTTCTTTGTTACTGAGTACGAGCCCTTGTCACGTAACACCTGAATCGGGATAAACATAAAATCCCTGCGTATTATTTTGTTACGGATCGGTTAGATCAAGTTCAGCACACAAGACTGAGAACCAAATGGAGTAGCTTAAATAACGATTTATTCCTAAGGTACATTTTTAACAATGGTGCTGCACATTCGGACAAGCTCAACGCATTTTGTTAGAAGGTCAAAAATTACAGCTCTGAAACAGGAAATAGTTTTTCAAAAACTTATAACCCTTTTTGTATAAATAAACAAAACTGTTACACTTTATTTAAATACATTCCTATAAGCAATCCAGTAAATAAATCAGATTTTTACCCTTTTATTGAACAGTTTCCAAAATATTTTGTTGTACCTGGCGACTTTGATGACCATCTTACACATTGCGGCTGCAAAGATATAAAATAAAAAGGAAATAAAATAGAACTTCTTGATTCAAAGCACAATCTTTTTCTTTTTAATGATAGGTAGCATATCGACCATCATCATGCCACATTATCCTATTCGTCCTTAGATCTTATCATCTGCAATCCATGGCTTTTACTAGATTTTCGTTTGTGATTAACTCTGTGGCAGTGACCACTTTTCAAGATACTTAGGAAGTAATATTAAAATACATCAAGGGCTAACCCATAGGAAAACCGAATAACGTATTGTGAAACATTTTACACCCTCTGCAAACCAAAATATTACAGCCAATGGTTTCGAAAACGTAGCGGTTCATATTCTCCTGTACACTAAAATACTTAATGATCTTGCTTTTGGTACAATACCAGAAGCATAGGTTAGTAAATGTGTCAAGAAATAATGGTTTGATGATAATTTAAGATATAATTAGCGAACGGTAAGAGATCATTATTAATCTCGATGTCAATGCAACAGCCGATAAGTTGAATAAATACCGCACGTACCTGTTCTTTTCTGTAAGAGAAGGCAAGGGAAACTTTGATATTCTGCCTCTTGGTTGCACGCTCTCTTGTCTCTATCCATTTTGCACTATATATAAGAGGAAACGTTTCTGCTCAACACAGTTCAACAGTGCATTTTCTTCACACTTTTGGGGAATATTTATTGTCTCATATAGGACTGATCTTGCACATAATTCTTGCTATCAACATATGCCTGTGAATGTATATTTCAGAATGATAAGGGTTATATAATGCTAATTAAAGGTAAGTTTCTAAACATGTGAATATAAATAATTGCATTAAACCTTCATGAAGATTAATAAAAGTGAACATGAAATATTGTAAAAAAAAATAGTAAGAAATATAAAGAATTACAACAGTAACTTTAAAAACGTAAACGCTTCCAAAAAACGTAAATGTTAATGTACTATAAGATAAAAAAAAACTGTTAAAATTAAGTAAATAATTTATTTTAAGTAAAAGATTACGGTAAAAAATATAAAATCCTGTATCAATAGTTTTTTTTAAAAATAAATAAAACTCATTTTCACAAAAACTCAAAAGCCGCTCAGGTGGCCTAGTGGTTAGAGCGTAAGCTTTGGATGCGGGAGGTCGCGGAATCGAACCCCAGCCAGGTCGTATCAAAGACTTTTAAAAATAGTACTAACGTAGCTTTAACAATTTTCCAGTGTGCCAGTTTATAGTGATGTCTATAATTGGAACTTGAAATCCCATTATCCAGACACCTAGCCGACCAGTCCGAACACTAACCTCTTAATGCTGAGCGCCTTGCGTGGCAGCTGTTAGTACCATTTTTATAAGTCCTATTTATGACTCAGCCGGGTGAGAACCCACAACCTCCCACATCTGAGCGGACACTCTAACCACAAGGCTACCTAAGCGATCTCGATAGAAGGATGATATGCTCCAATTGTTAGTTTTATGTGAAGGATGCTACGCTCCAGTTATAAGTTTCATATTCCTAAGCTTGTTTGTATAATTGTTCGTTCAAAATATATCGATAGTGATATAGCCACTTGCTGATTTATATAACATTTATAGTCAGCATTTGGAATCTTCCATTCGGTGACTGCAGTACTTTGGCTGCCTGATATGCTCTTTCATTACCCATCAAATCAATGCATTGCAAGATACGTCTTCGACACTGAGCAAATCATGTTTCTATAAAATCGCAGACAAATTGTTTTCAAATTTAAGGTTTTGAAAGGTTTCCATATATGTGTGAAAAGCCACAGTTTTGTCTCCTTTCTGTCTGAAGTGGTTTGTCATGTGCCTGGAATGTTAGTACATAAGGGCGTTATATGTTTGGAGTCCACATTTATAGGCTATACTTTGTATCTCATGAGAAAATTTGTTTTCTCAAATTGTGGCCGATTCACAGTGCTCTCCACAATACATTTAATCGGCATTTTTCCACTATCCAAGGCCTATATAACTTTGACTTGGCCAAGAACGTTGGTATGGGGTTTCTTTTTTAAAATTATGTATCGAAACATCTACTAATACTCTCTCGCTTGGAAAATTGTGTTTTCTCATATTAGACAAAGTCCACCTTAACGTTTGTGTATTCTTGTACAAATATATGATGAATATTGCAAAATTGGCCAATCGGCCTTTTGCAAAGATATA